TGGTAATGAGGTTGTTCTTGATATTCCCAGGGGTCTGATTGTTCTCCGTAGTAAGGGGGTTGGTACTGGAATCCGAATCCATAGTCTTCTCCTCTTTGATTGCTGATGACTCGATATTTGCACATGTTTTCTCCTTTGTTTCTTGATCGTTTAAGCTTGCATTATTGCTTCTTTGGCCTATTTTACTCTAGGTTGTGTTCCTTTGTCACATTTCAGGTCCTAGCACATAAAGTGAAGCGTAGGCGCAAGTTTCAAGTCAATCGGAGATCAATTGGCGACTCGGGGGAAGAAACTCGGGTATGACTTGAAGAAAGGATTTCTACCTCAGTTTGTGACCATATAATCATTTAATCTTGTCATGAGAAGAAAGAGGACGAGACTATGAGCGTCTGGGATCAAACGGCACCTGATTTGGAGTCCGAACGATGGAGAAACGAAGAATCAAAGATAAGGGAAAATTGGTTTCGGGCTTCTCTAAGAAACAGAAGGGGGCCCTATCGTGAACCAAAAATCCCCGGTCGTGAACCAAAATCCCCGGTCGTGACCCAAAAATCCCCGGTCGTGAACCAAAAAAATCCCCGGTCGTGACCTAAAAAACCCGACCGGGTATTTTGACCGGGGATCGCGAACGCAGGCTGTTAAAAGCCTGTTTTGTGCGTTTTTGCAAGGGAGAGCTGGGTTTTGGATCCCAAACACCCTAGGGACGAACCAAAGAGAGAGAGAGAGGGCGATTTGAGGGCATTCTAAGAGGGGAATTGGAGGATTCCTTTGCCTTGGAAGCTCGAGGAATAAGCCCGGACTTGAAGACTGATCATCTGAAGATTCTTACTGCAGTCTCTCTCTTCTCTATGGAGTAACTTCCCTTCACTTAGGTTTTGAGGAACCCTAGCTATGTTTGTTTGATTGGATGATTGGATGAGTACTCTGACTTGATAACCTTGAGTTCATATTCAATCTATGCATGTTTTCATGATTCAATTCTGCTTTAGTCGAGATTATTGATTCTGCTTTGATCCTATGAGAGCGAATACCTGATTAGGTCAATAGAGCACCATAGATTGATAGTATTGGATCGATTGCTTTAGTCGAGGGTTGATTCACTGCTTTGTATCGATTGAGAACCTCTTTCGATAGAGAGAGTCTAGTTCAGAACGCCTTGATCGGTTATTCTAGAGAAGGATACGTCCCTCTAGGCAATTGACTCAAGAGGACCTTGTTCCTTTAGTCGAGACTCAAGGTCTAGTCAAGGATTCTCTGCATTGTGAATGAAAGTGAAAAAGTTAGAAATCATCAATCGTTAATCTGGCTAGTGGCTAGGGGGAATCATACCTAAGTGAGTTCCCAACCTGTAATTAGATTAACTTTAACTATAGTTTGCTAGAGTAGTTTTAGTTCTTTCATCTTAATCTGGTTTGCTAAATAATAAACTGAAGCTGAGTAATAGTAACTCTAGAGACCCGTGGATTCGATATTTATCACTTGAGCCATTATACTGCAGTCCCTTTCATTGGTTACACTTGGCCATTGTTAGGTGTTGTGTCGTAGCGAGTCAATTGCTCCAGGGGGTCTCGGGATAATACCACTCGGATGGTGGTGGATACTCCCAATGGTTTGAGAAGCCATGAGGATCCATGATTCAGATCCGCACCAACAAAAACAAAAACACCCAAGTGAAAAGCAAGGGTGGAAAAGAAAAGAAAAACGCTAAAATAACAAACTTCCGCCTTTCCTAATAATCTAGAAAGTCCCCGGCAACAACGCCAAAAACTTGACTCGCTATGACATAACTCCTAATAATGGCCAAGTGTGACCAATGAAAGGGACTGCAGTATAGTGGCTCAAGTAATAAATATCGAATTCACGGGTCTCTAGAGTTACTATTACTCAGCTTCAGTTCATTATCTAGCAAACCAGATTAAGATGGAACAACTAAAACTACTCTAACAAACTACAGTTAAAGTTAATCTAATTACAGGTTGGGAACTCACTTAGGTATGATTCCCCCTAGCCACTAGTCAGATTAATGATTGATGATTTCTAACTTGTTTCACTTTCATTCACAATGCGGAGAATCCTTGACTAGACCTTGAATCTCGACTAATGGATCAAGGCCCTCTTGAGTCGATTTCCTAGAGGGATGTATCCTTCTCTAGAACAACTGATTAAGGCATTCTGAACTAGACTCCCTCTATCGAATGAGGTTCTCAATCGATACAAAGCATTGAATCAACCCTCGACTAAAGCAATCGATCCGATACTATCAATCTATGGTGCTCTATTGACATAATCAGGTATTGGCTCTCATAGGATCAAAGCAGAATCCATAATCTCGACTAAAGCAGAATTGAATCATGAAAACATGCATAGATTGAATATGAACTCAAGATTATCAAGTAGGAGTACTCATACAATCCTTCAATCAAACAAACATAGCTAGGGTTCCTCAAAACCTAAGTGAAGAGAAGTTACTCCATAGAGAAGAGAGAGACTGCAGTAAGAATCTTCAGATGATCAGTCTTCAAGTCTGGGCTTGTTCCTCGAGTTTCCAAGGCGAAGAAATCCTCCAATTCCAATCCAAGAATGCCCTCAAATCGCCCTCTCTCTCTCTCTCTCTTTGATTCGTCACTTGGCTGTTTGGGATCCAAAACCCAGCTCTCTATTGCAGAAACGCACAAAACAGGCTTTTAACAACTTGCGTTCGCGATCCCCAGTCAGAATACCTGGTCGGGTATTTTAGGTGGCGACCGGGGATTGGTGAAACGCACCGTCGGGGACATGGGGTTAATCCCCGGTCAGGGTCAAGAATACCCGACCGGGGATTTATGATTAATGCTCGGGGCCCCCTTCTGCTTCTCAAACGCCCAAAATAGGTTTTCCCTGTTCTGCTCCGATTAATACCCGGCAGGGTATTTCTGCCCATGGCCGGGTATTTTGCTCCTCCAGCACACTTCAACCCAAACGTGCTCCTTTCGACCCGAAACTCGTTTCTTCTCCTCGATGCCAGCACTAAGCCCTGAAATATGACATAAACACACAACCTAGCGTGAAATCGGCTTAAAACACGAGAATCAACATCTCAAACGGCTCAAGAATAGGGGTAAAAACATGTGCAATCAATGGTCTATCAGGGTGTTACGTGCGAAACGTTTGTTCGATTTCCTCCTTGGAATCGACGATGCCTTCACGGTGGCACGAACACAAATCTTAAGCATGAAACCAATTCCAACTCTTACAGAGGCTTATCAGCTGGTGCCTGGTGGTAGCTGCGGAGCAACAACGACAAATCACAGGATTACGTCGTCCAGTTGTGGAAGTTGCTGCTTTTCAGGCCCAAAAGACCGGTGATAAGGATGCTGATGACGAGCCTCCACGTTGCTCTCATTGCAACAAGTCGGGGCACACGAAAGACACCTGTTTTAAGAGCTTTGGCTATCCCTATCAGACCAAGGGTCGACAAGGGAGTCGTGCTGAGCGGCAAGGTGACCGCGGAGCTGGCAATGCTCGCAAACCGAGAGGAGAAGGGCGGTCAAACCCACGAGCTGCCAACATGGAGGTTGAGGATAGTCCCATTCCCGGTCTTTCCGCAGCCCAATTTTCACATCTGAAGGCATTCTTCACGGCACCTCAAGGCAATTCAAATGAACTAACAGCTCACATGGAGGGTAATAGTTCTGAACTCTCTTATTGGCTCATTGACTTAGGTTGCAACGAACACATTGTTTGGGACTCTAGTTGGTTAAGTACAGTTGATACAATGGGTCCTTTCTCTCCAGTTCGAATACCGAATGGAGCCAGTATCCTAGTAGAAGGGATTGACACTTTGAATTTGAATTGTTCTCTCAAACTTGATCGAGTTCTTCATGTCCCAACGTTTCGGTGTAACTTATTGTCTGTTAGTCGATTGACCAAGGACAATGATGTCGCTTTGCTATTTTTGGTTGATGTCCGTGTCATTCAGGAGTTACGTTCCAGAGTTATGATTGGACTGGGCCACCTGAGTGATGGCCTTTATCACCTTCGCCGAGTTGGAGGCCTCGACGTTGCAAGTGGTCGGCGACCTTCTGTGTTTGCTGCGGCTGGAAAGAGCTCCACTAATCTATGGCACACCAGGCTGGGACATCCTTCTTTGGAGAAGATGTCATGTTTACATAGATCACTATCTATTTCTGATTTAAGTCATGAACATCGGCACTGTGATTCTTGCTTGCGTGCCAAACAAACTCGGACACCTTTTGTTTCGCATTCTATTCGACGAGTGCTTGTTTTGAATTAGTTCATATGGATATTTGGGGCGATTATCGTACCCCTTCTATGGATGGTTCACGTTATTTCTTGACAGTGGTGGATGATTATAGTCGGGCCACATGGGTTTATTTGCTCAAGTTCAAATCTGATGTTAAGCGTTATCTTCGTAAGTTTTGTCAGATGGTGGTCACACAGTTTTGTACTAGTGTTCGGCGCATTTAGGCGGACAATGTCCTCGAGTTTCAGACGAGGACATTACGAGAGTACTATGAAACTCATGGGATTCTTTTATAGACCAGTTGTGTTGACACACCGCAGCAAAACGGTGTTGTTGAGCGCAAGCATCGTCATTTTCTCGAAACAACACGTGCTCTCTAGTTTCACTCGGGGCTCCCCATTCAGTTTTGGGGGGAGTGCGTTGTCACGGCCAGTTACTTAATAAATCGTCTGCCGACACGTATTCTCAAGAACAAAACTCCATATGAAGTTCTCCTTAGTCACCCACCTTCGTATGCACATCTTCGGAGGTTTGGTTGTTTGGTCTACTCCAAAAACACACGTCCTGGTCTCGACAAGTTCGTCGAGAGGTGACAAGCTTGTGTGTTCGTTGGCTATCCTAGCTCACAAAGGGTTTCCGTGTTTATAACCTTCATACTCACAGAATTTACTCTTCAAGAGACGTTCACTTTGTTGAAATTTTTTTTCCGTATCAGGAGAAAGGATCGTTGTAGGAGAGTCAGCAAAGTAAAGTGAACATGGAGCCATTGATTGGAGAGGAGGAAGAAGTTTTGAGAGAGCAGGAGGTCGTGCAGGCAGATCACGACGAGGAGGACGAGTTGGAGCTTACTCATGATAATAATGAGACTCATGGCTTACATGACATGCATGGGAGCAGCACGCAAGAAGATTCTTCTAGTGATGAAAATGGTGAGGCAGTTGAGACGGTGGCAGAGCCTCCCTTAAGGCGTAGAACTCGGAACAGACGTCCCCCTTCGGCTCTGATGGACATTTATGAAACCGAGTTACTGGGGCAGCCACGTGAAGAGACGGCGGTGACATATCCCATGGCGAATTAGGTAAGTTGTGAGCATTTCTAGCCAAAACATCGAGCCTACCTCGATGCCATCACCAAGATTGTAGAGCCCAAAACCTTTGTCGAGGCTGTGAAACATGCCTGTTGGAGAAAAGGCCATGTAGAAAGAAATAGATGCACTGGTAGCCAATGGTACATGGACCTTGGAGACTCTTCCACAAGGCATGAAGGCGATAGGTGCAAAGTGGGTGTACAAAGTGAAATACAGACCAAACGGGTCCGTAGAGCGTTGCAAGGCGCGACTTGTGGCAAAGGGTTTTACGCAACTGGAGGGCATCGACTTTCACGATACGTTTGCACCTATTGCAAAGGTGGTCACAGTTTGTGTTCTTTTAATAATAGCAGTCAAGTGCGGTTGGGACCTTCACCAGCTTGATGTGAACAACGCCTTCATACACAGCGACCTAGAGGAAGATGTTAATATGCAGGTTCCGCAAGGGTTTGCCAGTCCAGGAGATAATCGAGTTTGCAGATTGCGGAAGTCCCTCTATGGACTGAAACAAGCATCACAGAATTGTTATCATAAGTTTACACAAGCATTTTCAGAACTGGGGTTCAAGCCTTTGCGAGCGGATCACTCCTTGTTGGTTTATAGTCGAGGTGATTTTTTTGTAGCAACACCCATATACGTGGATGATGTAATTCTTACAGGAAATAGTGCAGCTTACATTGACAAGGTGAAGAAATTCCTCGATGCTCGTTTTAGCATCAAGGACCTTGTCGTTCTAAAGTACTTCTTGGGCATAGAAGTGGCAAGAGTGGCCGATGGGTTAGTGCTGAGCCAGAGGAATGATGCGGGAGGTTCAGGAGCTTGTCCGAGCGGTTTTCCCATGGAGCAAAACCATAGACTCACTCGACCGACTGATGAAGTAGCCGCAGATCCAAGTGGATTTCGGCGATTAGTGGGGCGTTTCTTGTATCTAACGGTTACGCGCCCCTATATTTCTTATGTCGTGAATGTGTTATCACCATTTTTTAATTGTCCAGGTCTGGAACATGTAGCGGCAGCGGATTGAGTACTGCGTTACTTGAAGAAGTCACCAGTTCAGGGATTGTGTTTCCCTTCGTCGGGAGGCCTAGAGTTGTTGGCATACTGCGATGCAGATTGGGCAGGATGTCAACCACTAGACGATCTACTACGAGTTACTATGTTCAGTTGGGTGGAGCACCAGTGTCTTGGAGGACGAAGAATAAAAAGGTAGTGTCGAGATCTTCAGTCGAAGAGGAGTACAGAGTGATGGCGAGTACTGTTAGTGAAGTGTTATGGCTGCGTTTTCTGCTTGGAGAGCTGAGTGTTAAACAGCGGGGTCCTACGTCACTCTACTGTGACAATCAGGCTGCACTGCACATTGTCGTGAACCCTGTATTCCATGAGAGGATGAAGCATGCCGAAATGGATTGCTATTTTGTTCGTGAGCGAGTATGTCAAAGGAGATACAGCCTGAGAAGATTGGGACGAAGTCGCAGACTGCAGATATTTTCACTAAAGCTTTGGGGGCCGATCAGTTTCACACGTTACTTTCCAAGCTGGGCGTTCGAGATCTGCACGCTCCAGCTTGAGGGGGAGTGTAGAACCGTGTGATATCCTCTTGTACATTTATTATAGTTGGAGGACTAAATTTGTATTTTACCTTGCCTAACCCTACTACTCGAATGGAGTATTTAAGGGTAGGTTTGTAGCTTCAGCTGAGTGTAGCCGCTAGCAGTAGATAAACTGCATCTAATAATAGAACCCTGAGAACTCACGTTCTCCGTAAAGTAGTCTCGATCATACTGAACGAGGAAATCACGTAAAATCCGTGTCTCGTGTTATTTCTTTTCCGCGTATCAAGTTTTACCATTAAGGCATTCGTAGAACACATAATTGATACAAGTGGATGCATGCATCCACTCTAATGATATTGATAACTAGTTTGAACTGGTTTGTTTAAACAATTAAACTAATTCATTAAGAAATGGTGGCAATGAAAGATAGGGTCCCGACAACTCCAATGGTCAACTCACCCCCCACTATTTCTCTCCTCTTTCTTTTCACAAGCACAAGCAGAACAACTAATCCAATAAAAACCCTTTTTATTAAACCTCTCAATTTTGTTTGGCAAATCCTTATCAAGGGTTCGATTGATGAGTTCCTAAACTCATCAGTCATCACCTCCTCACCATCACTTACTTAACAAGCAAATAATGCCTCGGCCGGACATATATAACTTCTTTAAAATAATGAGATTCACTATTTTAATGATGGATCTTACCGAAAAATCTCACTTTGCATTTGCAAGTGATTCGAACTTTCCATGAGTTTATAAATATATAAGATGATCCAAGAACTTGTTCAAGTACCCGCAAAATGTCAACCCACAAAATCAACAACAACTATATTTTTATTTCCTTGCTTGCTTTCACTTTTTTAAATTTTAGTATAGGGCTCTGAAATCAGTTTGGTTTCCTTTTTTTTTTTTAATTAGGAGGCTATACTCATTAGTTCAGTAGGCTGCACAACTATATTCAAACTTCTTTATATTATGCTCGAGTACTAATTTAGCTTTCGCAGGAGAGGGTGCAAATAGGAGATGCTTTCATCATCAATGGTGATACCTTTCTTCTATTCTATGTTGCTAGTTTGAAATTGATTGTATGAGGATGTGAACCTGTTTATCATTGTATGTATTGTTGCTATGATTTCATGTTGTGCTTGTGTTTATGCTTGTGTTGATGCTCGTGATTTTCAATTCCCTATATATATGCATGGATGTTTTATGTTTTGATGCCTATGTCTATGTGTATGATTTTGATGCTCCTCAAGTTCAATGCTCTTTATCATTGATGCTTATGATTCCATAGTATGCTATTATATGCATTGTGCTTAGTATCATCTAGATTGTTAAGAAATTATATTCTAGTGGTACCCCACTGATGTTACACGGGTATAGAGCGAATGGTCAACCATCTATGCCTCGATTAGTATCAATGTTTGATTGTTATATTATTGATGATATAGACCATTGATTATGGTTTAAGAGGTCCACACTTAGTCATGTGTTATCCTCACTTCCTTGTTCTTCATTAATTAGGTAATGACATGAAGCAAAAGCATGCATTAGCTAGTTAAATCTCTATCGCAAAAGGCGCATGCAAGGATATAGAATGGCCTTAGTGGAAGGGATAGAGTGATGTTATAAATGAGTCATTGGTACATGATGTGATTGAGCCGTAGTATGCATGATGTTACTCGAGATTCACTCCCTTATAGAATAACGTATCATTACTTTTATGCATCTATAAATCGAAAAACGTAAACAACTTTACTTTTCCTTGCTTTATTTCCTCATTACAACACTTGGCAAAAAAATCCAAAATACTAAAGTTTGGGGTGTTCGCTCTATACACACGCGAAACTGTGTAATCGTTTGTTGGAGTAAGGCGTGAGGCACTTGTGGATCGCCGGAGGGCGAAGTGATCCATGTGGTTTGAGGTGGAGCTAAACGATTGGTGGATACTCAACTTTACGAATGGTTGTTGAATGGCGCAATGCACGACGCGTGGCACTAGATCACACGGTAGGAATCGTGTAATAATTTGAAAACGTATGGGAGGACGAACTTTTAGTCGCGAGAACAATTGTACAATAAATGAGATTCATTATCTCAGTTTATTACAATGTTGATAGACATATATTTCATTGATTGGTTTATTCATATAAACTCTTAAATAGACAAATCGAGACGCAATGTGAAAACGTGCAAGAGGACGAACTTTTAGTCTCAGATACAAATTGTATAGTGAGTAAAATTCATGCTCCACCATTGGCGTCATCAGCTATACGATCATAGGTTAAAAAAATGAATTTAGTTGCTCGAACTGAGTGTCAAACATTCCCGGGATCGGACTTTTGGTGAGTTAATTGTTTCGTTTGGCAACACTTAACTAAGATAAGCTATTCGAGTCATGAATTATTTGAAATAACTCCTACCCTCGATGTTATTTAGAAAAGCTCGTTTTACCCTTTGTTATTGACAAATACAACTTGTGAATGGTTCAACTAAAAGAGATACTTTTATCAAGTTACCATATAAATACCACATGAACAATTATTGAGTTATTTGAGTCTACAAATATCACATGTACAATTAGTTCATCCAACAATCCCTAGATTTATGTTGATGACAAACAAACTACATTTGAATTTTAATGCTACGGTATTTTAGGATGGTTGAAACTAGGTTCAAATATGGTTAACAATTTTGATAAGATCACCTATAGTAGCATGTTTTTGTTGTCATACATATCCTGAAAGGAATAACCAGATAATATAAAATACAAAAAATTTGCAGGTCAAATCACACACAAAAAGAACGGATGAATTATAGTCAACTATAAAATGAACGAACGACAAGAGGACTTATTTTGCCATGATATGCATAACCTTGGAAAACATAGTAGCATGGTTGATTACTGTGTATGTAGTAAAAAGACAAATGGAATCGCCATTAACCATCCTGACCATGTTGTTGTTTGTCCTCCTTTAGAAATGTGGGTAGATAGGCCAACTATCAAGGATTAGAACCCAAATTTGTGCATGTTGAGCATGTCCATGTAATGTGGACAGCAGGACAAACTATCAAGGATTAGAACCCAGAATACACCACGAATCACATTTCTACCGAGGCACAAAACCACACTTGTATCCTCTCAACGGCCGCTTAAAGGCACATCAAAAGGAAAAATCAAGCTGCTGGTCTTCATTCAGAAAAAATTCTCATCCAAAAACAAAGCATTTTGATCTTCTGTTTGGATTGGCTTGCCCCTAATACTGATATATATTATATAGTGCTGTACAATATGCATCTTGGAGAGAGTTTCTCTAATCTCTAACACAAAAAACAGGGGGGAAAGACTTGTCCTTCTAGTCTCACGAGCTACTACCAATGTCTTTGCCACTAAATTCTCCAGCTCCAAAAGAAGCAGCTACATCAAGCCCCCCGC